CTTTCATGGAACTTTGTGACTTGCTTTCCCCTGCCCTGAAGCGCATGAATACCAAGATGAGAGCAGCCCTCACAGTTGAGAAGCGAGTGGCGATAGCCCTGTGGAAGCTTGCAACGCCAGACAGCTACCGGTCAGTTGGGAATCAATTTGGAGTGGGCAAATCTACTGTGGGGGCTGCTGTGATGCAAGTAGCCCACGCAATCAAAGATCTGCTGATATCAAGGGTAGTGACCCTGGGAAATGTGCAGGTCATAGTGGATGGCTTTGCTGCAATGGGATTCCCTAACTGTGGTGGGGCTATAGACGGAACCCATATCCCTATCTTGGCACCGGAGCACCAAGCCGCCGAGTACATAAACCGCAAGGGGTACTTTTCGATAGTGCTGCAAGCTCTGGTGGATCACAAGGGACGTTTCACCAACATCAACGTGGGATGGCCGGGAAAGGTGCATGATGCTCGCATCTTCAGGAACTCTGGTCTGTTTCAAAAGCTGCAGGAAGGGACTTTATTCCCAGACCAGAAAATAACTGTTGGGGATGTTGAAATGCCTATATGTATCCTTGGGGACCCAGCCTACCCCTTAATGCCATGGCTCATGAAGCCATACACAGGCAGCCTGGACAGTGGTCAGGAGCTGCTCAACTACAGGCTGAGCAAGTGCAGAATGGTGGTAGAATGTGCATTTGGACGTTTAAAGGCGCGCTGGCGCAGTTTACTGACTCGCTTAGACCTCAGCGAAACCAATATTCCCACTGTTATTACTGCTTGCTGTGTGCTCCACAATATCTGTGAGAGTAAGGGGGAGACGTTTATGGCGGGGTGGGAGGTTGAGGCAAATCGCCTGGCTGCTGGTTACGCGCAGCCAGACACCAGGGCGGTTAGAAGAGCACAGGAGGGCGCGGTACGCATCAGAGAAGCTTTGAAAACCAGTTTCATGACTGGCCAGGCTACGGTGTGAAAGTTCTGTTTGTTTCTCCTTGATTAACCCCCCCCCCCCTTGGTTCACTCTACTTCCCTGTAAGCTAACCACCCTCCCCTCCTCCCTTTAATCATTGCTTGCAGAGCCAATAAAGTCATTGCTGCTTCACAGTCATGCATTCGTTATTCATTCATCACACAAATAGGGGGATGACTACCAAGGTATCCCAGGAGGGGTGGTGCAGGAGGGAAGGAAAATGCCACACAGCACTTTAAGCACAGCACTTTAAAAGTTTACAACTTTAAAATTTATTGAATGACAGCCTTCTTTTTTTTGGGCAATCCTCTGTGGTGGAGTGGCTGGTTGGCCGGAGGCCCCCCCACCGCGTTCTTGGGCGTCTGGGTGTGGAGGCTATGGAACTTGGGGAGGAGGGCGGTTGGTTACAGAGGGGCTGCAGTGGCAGTCTGTGCTCCAGCTGCCTTTGCTGCAGCTCAACCATACACTGGAGCATACTGGTTTGGTCCTGCAGCAGCCTCAGCATTGAATCCTGCCTCCTCTCATCACGCTGCCGCCACCTTTGAGCTTCAGCCCTGTCTTCAGCCCGCCACTTACTCTCTTCAGCCCACCACTTACTCTCTTCAGCCCTCCACCTCTCCTCCCAGTCATTTTGTGCTTTCCTGCACTCTGACATTATTTGCCTCCACGCATTCGTCTGTGCTCTGTCAGTGTGGGAGGACAGCATGAGCTCGGAGAACATTTCATCGCGAGTGCGTTTTTTTTTTTTCTAAGCTTCACTAGCCTCTGGGAAGGAGAAGATCCTGTGATCATTGAAACACATGCAGCTGGTGGAGAAAAAAAAAAGGGACAGCGGTATTTAAAAAGACACATTTTATAAAACAGTCGCTACACTCTTTCAGGGTAAACCTTGCTGTTAACATTACATACATAGCACATGTGCTTTCGTTACAAGGTCGCATTTTGCCTCCTCCCACCACGTGAACGGATTTTGGTTGAATGCCAGCAAACATACACTGCAATGCTTTGTTCTACAGTGATTCCCGAGTACGTGTTACTGGCCTGGAGTGGTAAAGTGTCCTACCATGAAGGACGAAATAAGGCTGCCCTCCCCAGAAACCTTTTGCAAAGGCAGAACCGCAAATGCCAGGGCAAAGTAATCCTTTCACATGCTTGCTTTTAAACCATGTATAGCATTTTAAAAGGTACACTCACCAGAGGTCCCTTCTCCGCCTGCTGAGTCCAGGAGGCAGCCTTGGGTGGGTTCGGGGGTACTGGCTCCAGGTCTAGGGTGAGAAACAGTTCCTGGCTGTCGGGAAAACCGGTTTCTCCGCTTGCTTGCTGTGAGCTATCTACAACCTCCTCCTCATCATCATCTTCTTCGTCCCCAAAACCTACTTCCGTATTGCCTCCATCTCCATTGAAGGAGTCAAACAACACGGCTGGGGTAGTGGTGGCTGAACCCCCTAAAATGGCATGCAGCTCATCATAGAAGCGGCATGTTTGGGGCTCTGACCCAGAGCAGCTGTTCGCCTCTCTGGTTTTCTGGTAGGCTTGCCTCAGCTCCTTCAGTTTCACGCGGCACTGCTTCGGGTCCCTGTTATGGCCTCTGTCCTTCATGCCCTGGGAGATTTTCAGAAAGGTTTTGGCATTTCGAAAACTGGAACGGAGTTCTGATAGCACGGATTCCTCTCCCCAAACAGCGATCAGATCCCGTACCTCCCGTTCGGTCCATGCTGGAGCTCTTTTGCGATTCTGGGACTCCATCATGGTCACCTGTGCTGATGAGCTCTGCATGGTCACCTGCAGCTTGCCACGCTGGCCAAACAGGAAATGAGATTCAAAAGTTCGCGGTTCTTTTCCTGTCTACCTGGCCAGTGCATCTGAGTTGAGAGCGCTGTCCAGAGCGGTCAGAATGGAGCACTCTGGGATAGCTCCCGGAGGCCAATACCATCGAATTGTGTCCACAGTACCCCAAATTCGAGCCGGCAACGTCGATTTAAGCGCTAATCCACTTGTCAGGGGTGGAGTAAGGAAATCGATTTTAAGAGCCCTTTAAGTCGAAATAAAGGGCTTCATTGTGTGGACGGGTGCAGGTTTAAATCGATTTAACGCTGCTAAATTCGACCTAAAGTCCTAGTGTAGACCAGGGCAAAAACTCGACTTCTATAAATTCGACCTAATTTTGTAGTGTAGAAGTGGCCAAGCACAAGACAAGCGGACATTCTTGAGAACACTTGACATTGCTCTGTTTTTCTGTTAATTCATAGGACACACACAGACATTCCTACGTACTCAGTACATTGAAGAGGACTCCCTTGCTTCAGACAACCTAGGGACAGATCAGGACATTACAAACCTCTAGTCTCACCTCCGGTTTGTGGATAACACGGCCCTGTAAGATCATAACACATGCTCACTGACTGCTCATATCAAACCTTCTCATTGACTTCACACCCATCCTTCTTAGTGTAGCCAGCTTCCAGAGAACAGCAGTGAAAGGCTCTTCAGAGAGAGATGTCTCATGAATAGGCAGAGGGATGGACTTCTTGCAGTTCAGTGAAAACCCCTGGAAACAGTTCTAAAAGCAAATCAGCACACAAAGAAAAATCCTCCCACCTCAACCCTGCAGGGCTTACAGGAAACAAAAATGACCAAGTTATTAAACCGAGAGGAAGAAGAGGGGGAAACCGCTTCTATGTTTATCAAAGGGACAGACCCACATAGAATCATAGAATCATAGAATATCAGGGTTGGAAGGGACCTCAGGAGGTCATCTAGTCCAACCCCCTGCTCAAAGCAGGACCAATCCCCAATTAAATCATCCCAGCTAGGGCTTTGTCAAGCCTGACCTTAAAAACTTCTAGGAAGGAGATTCTACCACCTCCCTAGGTAACGCATTCCAGTGTTTCACCACCCTCCTAGTGAAAAAGTTTTTCCTAATATCCAACCTAAACCTCCCCCACTGCAACTTGAGACCATTACTCCTTGTCCTGTCCTCTTCTACCACTGAGAATAGTCTAGAACCATCCTCTCTGGAACCACCTCTCAGGTAGTTGAAAGCAATATGGACCTGATGTTACAGCTGTGACCAATCTATGTTGGTTGACTTTACAGCTGGGTGAAAACTGCAAAAAATCTGCATGAATAATCATTTGAACTTTTAAATGAATTCACTTTGACAGAATTTGTGGTCCTTTTGTGTTTGTTCTCTGGGAATGTCTTAGTAAAGGAGTTCACTAGTAGGAACATTCACTGATGCAAGCACATTTTATGTGAATATTGTACAATATTTGCAGGACAGGAATTCTGAATTTGTAATCACAAACACTTACATTTAATCTGATCACCACTAAGTGAGAGATACACCATGTGAGTTACATAGCCAAGCAAGCCAACTTGAATTTCATGGGGGCAGCAAAGTGTCATGTTCGATTATGAAACATTTCTATCCAGAGACTGAACCCGGGAACAATCCCAAGGAATTACTGTCCACAGTACCGAAGGCTGGAATTTTTAAAGTCAGGGTTTGCCCACAAAAACCCCTTTCCAATCAGCGGGAACTGAGTATCCAGCGCTCCTCCGAGGTTTGGGAAATCACAGCTCACATCCCTATTTCACCAGTGAAGGGCGCTAGTGTTTATACATTCATTGATTCTATGGTATTTCAGTTTTATATCCATTGGGTGTTACACTTTGGTAACCCACTATTAGGCGCCGTAAAACACAAGTTTACCAATTATCTGTAAACTCACACTGAAGTCCCCCGATGTCAAAGTGGATTTAGTGTTTTCCTGGATTGGGGCCCAAATTATATTAATTTGGTCACCTTGTTATCAACACACTTATGCTTTCCTGAATCGGGGCATAAATTCCATTGCAGTGACCTACTGATTCCCCCTCAGTCTCTCACTCCGGGTTCTGAAGTCATTTATTTGCCAAGGCCGGTGCCGCTGCGGTTTATTCAAATGCCTTGGCAATGACCACATGCAAATGAAGTCGGGAAACTTCCTGATAAAGGAGAGCGACTGATCCTCACTGGAAATCTGCCGGGGCAGCCAGACAGTTCACAGTCGTTGCACCAGACAAGGTGGTTGGGTAGAATTGAAATGGCGTGTCTGGGGCTCCTTGTCCTTTTGGCAGCCTTCTCCGGTAAGTGGAGTAAACTGACAGGCAGCGAGCTCGGACGGCGGGGGTTGCACACCATGGCTTTCTGGTTAAGATGTAGGATTGCATCTCAATCATTCTGTGTTCAAATCCTGTTTCTTTCACATGTGTCTTGAAACCGGTCATTTAAAGTGAAAGGTACCGAAGGGATCTGGATGCCAAATTCTTGGTTTTACTGCAAAGTGGGTGTCAAAATCTCTTAGGCATCATGGACAATCCCAGGCTGAATCTCTGTGACTCAGTTTCCTATCGGTAAAACGGGGTAACAGCACATCCCTACCTCAGCAGGGTGTTGTGGGGATAAATTCATGAGTACACCAGGAACTCAGATAATTCTGCGAGGGGTGGAGGAAGGGGCAATAGAAGGACCTGGAAACATCAAGGAAATGGAGTGGGGAAAAGAGGGAAATAAAGTGTATTTTTTCTTCTTATTTATTTACAGGTGTCAGGTCCCAGATCCAGCTGACCCAGTCTGGGGCAGAAATCAAGAAGCCTGGAGAGTCTGTGAAGGTGACATGTAAAACCTCCGGCTACACCTTTACCAGCTATTACATGAGCTGGGTACGGCAGGCTCCCGGGAAAGGACTGGAGTGGATAGGATACATCTATCCCGGTGATGGTGAAACTGGCTATGCCCAGGCCTTCCAGGGGCGATTCACCATCACCAGGGACACCTCCATGAGCACGGCCTATCTACAGCTGGGCAGCCTGAGAACCGACGACACAGCCAGGTATTACTGTGCTCGGGACACAGTGACACAAACCACATCTGGACCAATTCAAAAACCCTCCAGTGAGAGAACCCGGGTCTCCTGCGAACACTGCAGCCCTCAGCCACCCCGGATAACGGTGACCCCTGTGAACAGACTCTGGGTAATTATCCCCTAGTGACTTAGGAGCAGTGAAAGCTAATGGGATTTAGAACCTTAAGTGCCTAAATCACTTTTCAAGCTAGGACTCTGTTCCCGGGACACAGTCAACATTAGCCGGAGGAGAAGGGGACCAGAACAATCACAGCCCTTGGAGAAGCTGGGTGTGCCAGGAAGCGTGTGTCTGCCTCAGGATGGGAGCCATTACCGGGGCGTTGACCCCCTGCCTTCGCCCGCAGCTCCCGGGAGGGAAGGGAGCCCCGGCTATTAGACCCTGTTAGCGAACCTCGCTGGGAGTGAGAGGAGACTAAGGACCCCCCCAAAACAGGCGCCTTGAACTCCGTCTGTGGGAGGAGAGCGAGCCCTGGGGAGAGGGGGCTACCCAGGGAGTGCTGAGGAGGGAGGGCAGAAGGGGCGGGTGGGCGGCGAGGTCTATGGGCCCGTGGCGCCTGGGCACCAGGAATATTCCTGGCCCGGGGCCCGGCTCCAGCAATGTCTGAGGCCGGGTCTCTCCCTCGGCCCCGACTTCTGCCCCCGGGTGCTCCCCGGCGGGTGATTTAAAGTGGCCCCGGGGCCCCCACCCACCACCGGCAGCGCAGCGGAGCTGAGCGGGGTCCTGCCTGCTCGCTCCACGTGGCTGCCGGCCCCGCCCTGCGGCCCCTGGGTGGGGTGGGTCGGGTCTGTGTCCTTGCGCTCTGCTCTCGCCCCAAGCGCCCCTGCAGCCAATAGGAAACCCGGCTCGCCCTGCCTAGGAGCCCCAGATAAGCGCTGCACCCCCCCCCCCTCCCAGAGCCTGCACCCCCGCCCCTTTCCCACACACCCCCTCCCACCCCCAAACTCCCTCCGAGAGCCTGCACCCCCCTACCCCAAACTCCCTCCCAGAGCCTGCACCCCCAGCCCACCCCAGACCCCCCCACCCAAACTCCCTCCCAGAGCCTGCACCCTTCCTGCACCCCAGTTCCCTGCCCCCGCCCAAACTCCCTCCCAGAGCCTTAGGCAGGTGGGTGGTGGAGTTTGTGGGGGGCGGGGTTTGGGGGGGCAGGCTCTGGGCGTTCTGAGCACAACCAAAATATCTACAAACCTGCCGCCCGCCTCCCCTGAGAGGAGGGGTGCTTAAAGAAGGCCAGGTCCCTGTGTGCTGCCCCAGCGAAGAGAGGCAGCCCCGAGAAAGGTCGCACTGACTTTGGGCTCACAGGCCGGGGCTTCCCTTCTTCAGGAGAACACGGACAAAGACTTTGATTTCACTGAGCCCTGAAAACTTATGGGGTCAGTGGGATTCAGAGCCACTGAAGGGAAATCCGAGTGAAATAAACACCCGGGCATTTTTAATAGATCTGCTCCATCTCCGTCTTTATGTTCCCCACCACTTCTGTGGGGGGCAGGGCGTCTTGTTTTACCAGTGAGTACCTGAGAATGGTCCCTAACTCCCTTAACAAATAGTCCCCGAGTGGCTAAGTGTTTTCCCCATGAGGAGAGGAGACACAATCTAACCCAGTAAAAGGACATCGGAGGCGAGGAGACAGGAGCCGTCACTGAAATGTCACACTTCTCAGAGCAGCCAGTGGCCGGAATTGTCAATGGAGATGAAGGGAATTAGGTGCCAAAATCCCAATGAAACCAAAGGGGATTTCGGTGTGGGGTTTTCACAACATCCAGCTGCCTCCGCAGTACAAGTCCTGTTTTCCTCTGCCCCTCTGGAGATCACCGCCAGTGTCTGTCTGCTAATGACTCTTTGGGGCTGAGATTTGAAACCCAAAATACCGTTTCGATCAAGGGGACCCAGCTACACTAATCTACTCAGCAGCTCTCAAAAATCCCGGTCTCTTTAAACATCAGTTATACAGCTGTGCGGACACGCTGTGGGGGTCTGTCTCACACACCCTAACGGCGTCCAGGGCCCCATTATGCCGGATGCCGCACTTCGCCCTGGGGACAGGAAGTCCCAGCGCTGAAGGGTTCACAATCCAAATACACCAGGCAGACACCAGCAGAGGCTCAGAGAGTTGTTGTTACTCCCCAAGGTGAACCAACAGGTCCACTGGAGAGGCCGGGAGGAGAACCCAGGGCTGTTCTTCAGATCCCTTGTTTACAGATCATGCCCCAGGCCTCCTTGGCCCACGGATATTGTACAAGTATTAGATTTTGGGAAGGGTTTCTGTAGTGTGTGTGTGATTGTAATAGTTGTATCAATATGCTCCCTATACTGGACACAGGTATAGCTGCAGAAATGTGCCTTATACTGGGATTTTGCATTCTCCTTTCCCACCCAAGAACAGCCACACGAGCTGAAGGAACTTTATACTGATTCATAGACTCAGATTTCAAGGCCAGAAGGGAAGATCTTCATAACTTACTTTGCCCTCCTGTGTAACACTGGTATGTCTGTGTCCATATTAGGGGAGGAGTCTGTTGTACCCCCTGAATTATACCTTTATAGTTCCAATGATACACCTTTTGTGTGTAGACAAGTGCTAAGATTCTCAAAGCTGTCTAGGGGATTTAGATTCCAAGGGATAAATATTCAAAGGCACAAATGGCACTTAGGCCCTAACTCAATTGTAAATCAATGTGATTTTGATGCCCAAGCATTTCTACCTTTGAAATAGCCACCTCAAGTCCCCATCGATTTGAAAGGGAACTGCGTATCCAAATCCCTTGGACAGCTCAGGAAAGTTCAGCCTCTAGATCCGTTTTGTGTTTCCCTTTAAATGCTAATTCTTTTCCTTGAATCCCATTTTGAATATTTTACCTAAATAAACTGCAGCTCACAATAGAATCGGGGCCTTCTCCTGATGTGCTAGGGCAAGAGATTTAATTAAAAATAGATTCGGGTGAGTTCTGAGAACCAGAAGAACGGCAGGTGCCAGATCCAAGCACAGTTGATGCGTTCTGATTCCCGTTCAGCTCCTTGGAGCTTTTGAGGCGTCTTTGATGTTGAATATGCAAATAAAGTAATTATACTCCCTGTTTGAAGTTTGCAATGGGAGAAAATCACCATCCAAAGGCGTCACCTTGCTTTGCCAGGTGGAGGGTGTTGTAGAAACAACCATTAAATATTTGCTACATTTTCTGTTCCTGCTGGCAGCCTTCCCGGGTAAGTGAATTTCAGAGAGATCTGGGGTGTGCAGGAGAAAGGAGAGCCAACAAGAAGGGTACTCAGACTCATGCATTCTTGTCGCGTAACTGCAGGTGTCTGGTCCCAAATCCAACAGGTCCACCCTGGTGCTGAGATTAAAAAAACCTGGAGAGTCAGAGAAGCTGTCCTGTAAACCATCTGGGTACAGCTTTACTAGCCACTTGCTGTCTTGGATTCAACAGGATTAACTCAAATAATGGAGGAATTGGCTATGCTACAAATACAAAGGGTGATTCACCCTCTCCAGAGACAACTCCATCAGCACAGCCTATGTAGAGATCAGTGGGCTCAGAAGTGAAGACACCACCATGTATTACCATGAGAGCAGCACAGCAAAAGGAAAGCCAGTCAGAGTCATGGAAAAACGGTCTGCAGAGGAAACCACAATCTCCTGAGCACATGGGAGCCCCTGGGGCAGCTGGAAAGAGGAGTCTGTATTCTATTTATACGACTCATTGCACCCTGTAACTGGAAATGGATCTGCACACCCCAAAAGTGAACCACAAGCACTGTGGTGCCCTACAAAAAAGTGATAGTGATTTTGGGTGCCTCTGTTTTTGGTTGCTCAAACTGGGACACGTTAACAGGGACTGATTTATAGAAAGCACCAGGCATCCATTGTGACAGATTTATGTTATTAATTTGCCTGGAGCATTAGGTGATTAGGCTGAGGCCCCAGGATCTTTAGGGGAGGAGATGAAGGAGCACATCAAGTGACTAAGGTTTAAAGCTTTATTAATAAAATAAAGTAAAACAACAGCGGAGAGTGAGGGGTGCTTTTTACGTTACTGAGAGGAAGGAAGGAAGCGTTAGTGCCCCAAGCCCTAGCCCCCTTTTATACTTACACACACACTACCTGGGGCTGGCCAAGCCCGGGTGTAATGTAAGAAGAAGAGGGGGAAGGGTGGACGGGAGTTTTGTTCTGTGCACAGGCTGCCCAGAGTTCGCTGTTGATCTCTGACCTACCCTGGCTTTTGGGAGGATTTTTAAGACCTGGGTTTTTTGGGGGGGCCTTCCAGTTCAGGGACTTCTGTCCCCCATGCTTTTTGTACCAGTTCAACCCCGCTTTTCGCCGCTTTTCGACGCTTTTTTAAAACACACCTGCTTTAGGGACGCGAGATGGTTATTTTTTCCTTGCTGACCTTTGCCGTTTTACTTCTTTTTGCAGCCCCTGCAGTTTTGTTTAGCTGATTTATTTTTTTTTTTTACAGCTCTTTGTGGTTGGAATTCAGGCCCCCCGTCTTTCTTGGCAGGCAGCCGAGAGTCGGTTGTGTGCTGTGGCCTTGGGCTGGAGTCAGCGTCTTATCTTCCGACCTAGCTGGAGCCTCGAGTTAACCCATTTCTTTTTTCCTTTCTCCCTCTGTGGCCTCTCATAACTGCAAAGGAACCTGTTACTTTACCCTTACACCTTTAACCCTTCTCAAAACGCCTTGCGATGCCTGCAACAGCGTTAGCAACGTACAATGCTGATTTGCCAGTCCAGGGGTCCCCCTGAGGGATGGGGCCATTGGGTTGTGGCATCCCCCCACACACACCCCGAATTAACATTGTGTTGTGAGGAGTCACCACTTAGGTTTTTACCCTCCCTCTGACACAGTGGCGAGGGTGACTGTTGGTTTTTACATAAGCAGCAATATATTACAAACACAATTGTTATGGTGGCAACAATTGCATCCAGCGGCCGGGAGTGGCTTTTGGCTTTATTAGTAACGTAGCATAACACATTCCCCGGTTGGCATAGATGCCCCATCCAGATGGCTGTGACAAAGCGGCAGCTTTTTCAGATGAAATGCGCATCGCAACACTGCGAAGGAGGGGGCATTTGTCTGGAACACAATTCATTGTTCCCTGCTGTGCGTCAACGGAAGGAAAACACTGGGCGTAATTTATGAAAAATTAAACACAATATAACTAGAAACATTAACACTGCTTTGAATAACACAGGAGCCTTTAGTCCCTCCAGCGAGCATTTGCCCATCTAAACAGACAGGGGGTTATCCCTCCCCAGACGACTTAGGCTCCTATCTTAAACGTCACTGTCGGTAGATTTTTCTCCTCTCCAAAGTCAATTCTCAAAATATGAATTAGGCTCCTGTGACACAGTCGCCTGTCACAGCAGCAAAACGGTCCTGGGTGAACGCCCTGAGCAGCAGGCTAGGGGGTATTTGGGGAGGGGTCTTTCAATCTCTCCTGTTCATGCTGTTCCACCGTGACTTAATTAATACTTATTTGGTCTGAAAGAGAAAGGGATGTGCTTGGGGTGTCTGTACCCCAAATGTCACCCTGCCCTTGACAGTGCAAGACCGGGGCTCAAGTCCCTGCTCCCAGATCAGGCAGAGGGTCAGGAAATGATCCTGGCTCTACCATGTCCTAGGCAAGTGCTCTAACCACTAGGCTAAAAGCTAAGGGAAGCACCAACAAATCCTTCTCTGGCACAAGGGGGTCTGGGCGTGTTTCTGAATGTAAATACCTGGGACTAACTCCAGGACAGGGCTGTGAATCCCAGCTGGAGTTAGGCACCTAACTCCCTTTAACAGGTGGTACTTGGACCCAACCCCTCCTCAGCATTTCCGAAGGGGTAGGTCAGGCAGCTCTCCACTCATTGTGCTGGCTTTTGCCAATCCCTGGATCAAGCACCTAACTCTCCTCTACACATGGATCATTTCAGTGTAGCCGGTCACTGCTGGGAAGGGGGCTTCCCTCCCGATGCGATGGGAACCTTCACTCTCCAGCGGGTGGCCCAGACCAACGAATCCTTGGCACAGGACCCCTCTCCAGACATGAAAGCTCATGCTCAAATAAATTGGTTAGTCTCTAAGGTGCCACAAGTACTCCTTTTCTTTTTGCGAATACAGACTAACAGGGCTGTTACTCTGAAACCTCTCCAGACACTGACTCCCCTGACTGGAGGTGGAAAGCGGCTCCAGAGCTGAGTCCCCCCAGCCCCCAATATCCCCTCACAACAGCCAGGCCCTCAGTTCCCATGCGAGGAAATACAGTCCCTGCAGGGAGCTGTTCATTCCTCTCAGGGTCTGAAAGTGTCAGGAGGACCCCAGAGCCCTGCGCCCGGCGCTGCATAGACACAGAGGACGGGACACTCTGACTCCTGCCACGGGAGCCCTGGGGCGAGTCAATCCGATCACTGACAGCAGGAGCGTGTGTCTCTTATAAAGCGGGGCATGCAAATGAGGGAGACAGTTTCCTGGTTAAATCTCTGCCTCCCGCTGCCCAGGCTGCACCCGGAGACACAATCCGCAGCCCCCTGGGTCTGTGCAGTCACCAGCCAGTCCCCTGAGAACTTCCCCCTCCAGCACCCGGGAAAATGGGATTTTTGCTCCTTGTCATTGTCGCTGTAGCAGCTTTGGAAGGTATTTTCCTCCTCTGAAGACCTGGCAGAGTTAGAAGAATATTGTGTTCTCGCTGTTTTTATACCGACATTAATGGCCTGTCTTTATTCCCAGGTGTCCGGTCCCAGACGCTGGTGGAGTCCGGAGGGGGTGTGAAGAAGCCCGGAGACTCTCTCCGCCTCTCCTGCAAAGCCTCCGGGTTCACCTTCAGCAGCTACTGGATGAGCTGGGTCCGCCAGGCTCCCGGGAAGGGACTGGAATGGGTCGCTTATATAAAATACGATGGGAGTAGTACATACTACCTCGATGCAGTGAAAGGGCGATTCACCATCTCCAGGGATAACGCCAAGAGTGAGCTGTATCTGCAAATGACCGGCCTGAAGCCCGAGGACACCGCCCGCTATTACTGTGCGAGAGACACAGTGACACCAAACCGGTTTGTGATCGTACAAAAACCCAGGCTGCGGAATCGCCCTTCTCCCGGCGGCCGCGCGGGGGCAGCAGCGACACCCCCCGCTTCGGGCTCGGGCAGGAGACCCGGCACCCGGGGGAACGGGACACAAACCTCCCGCCAGTTTAACCCTTCCGTTCCCGGGCAATGTGTCTCCCCTTCCTGCCCAGAGCCCCGCTGAGTGCAGAGATCCCTCGCTTCATCTGTGAACCCCAATCCGGAGTGAGTCCTGTTCTGAGTCGCTCTCCCCTCGCAGACCCGGTACTTGGCTCCCGCGGGGCCCGTCTCGGTGTCAGACTCACAGGCCAGCGTCTGTCAGTGTAAAGGGGACAAGCGCGTTGGGGTTTGCATCAGACCCAACGGGTGGAGAGAATTGCTCTGGGGGCCAAATCCTCCGCCAGTGTAAAGTCACCGCAACTGCTTTCACAAGACTCGAGTTATTCCTGATTTACACCAGGGAGGCTCTGGCCCTTTCAGCAAACTGGGATGTTTATCCCATTAATGCAGCGGAAGGTGATTATTTCGTTATAACCGATGTGAGGCCCCCAGGGCCAGTGCAAGGATATTTTGTGCCCTGGGCGAAACTTCCACCTTGTGACCCTCCTCCCCGTCCCCCTCCACTGTGCCCCCCCACCTCCAAAAACTAGTAAACTTAGAACTATAAACAGCCTCTCAGAATGGGTAATGGCTCTTGTATTGTTTCTTTTTTCCCTTTAAGACGTTTCAGTTGTTTGCCATCGCCTCTGATGGTGTCCCATCCAAAGTCTTCCTGTTGTGCAAAGCTAAACAACTGAGCCTTGCATTGCATCACCAGCCAAGTTAGCCGGGTGACAAATCCCTCTTGCCCCAAAGGGCCATTATCCCCTGGAGACTAATTTCTACTCCAAGTCCCTAAAGCAGACTTTTAAGGTAAATACACAATATTACCCATGCACACATCTCACAGAGATTCGCACTCTTGGCAACTTAGCAGCCTTGTGCAGATCCCTTCCACATTCCTCTTTGTGGGTCAGTGCCCTGTAAGACACGTGTGGGGTGCAGTGAGTTTGTCAGGCCTGCGGTAACAGCTGTTTGTGAAGATCAGGGGGCCCTTTGCCAAGGGGAGCTGGTGTCACAGTGGGCTTGGGCTGGCTGACAGTATGGGGCAGGGCACTGAGGCTGGTGGGGCAGGTAACATTCACTGGGCTGGGGGGCAGGCAGTGCCGGGATAGGGCAGGGGCAGGTACCTGTCAGTCTCCAGCACTCAGGCGACGCCAGGGCCAGCAGCCTCTTCACCTCAGAGTCTCCTCCACTTCCCCGGGGGCCACCCCTCCTCTCAGGCTCCCCAGCCGCAGCCGCCAGGGAGGACGCAGGCTGGGGGTGCCGCCGCAGAGGAGACACAAGGGGCTGGGCTTGGCTGGGGCCCCACAGTTGCAGGCTGAGAGCAGCAAGAACCGGGCACCGCTCGGCGGGAGCCGGGTGGGCCGAGCCCAGGGCACCTATGCTCCCTGCCTGCCCCTGCTGCTGCGGAGGGTGCTGCTGCCCTGGGCTCGGGCCACCTGGCTCCCACCGAGCAGCACCCGGTTCCTGCTGCTCTCGGCCGGCAGATGTGGAGCCCCAGCCGAGCCTGGCCCCTTGCGTCTCCTCCGCGGGGGCGCTCCCGGCCTGTGTCCTCTCGGAGGCCGTGGTGGCAGTGGCCAGGGAGCCTGAGAGGAGGGGTGGCCCCTGGGCAAGCGGAGGAGACTCAGAGGTGAAGAGGCTGCTGGCCCTGGCGTGGCCCGAGAGCTGGAGACTGACAGGTACCTGCCCCTCAGCAATAGTGTAAAAAAAAATTGGACACCGCTTTTTGGCGCCCCCAAATCTTGGCACCCTAGGTGGCCGCCTAGTTCACCTAGTGGTTACTCCAGCCCTGGAGCCCCTCACCATGGCGTCTCCGCCCTTTACATGCGGTTATTGCCTTTATCCCCCCAACACCCCCGGGAGGCCGGGGAACGATCACAGCCCCTGGTTCAGATGGGGGGACTGAGACAGAGAGATGGAGGCCGGGGTGTGGAAATGGGGCCATTCAGGGTCCGGGCGGGGCTGGGGGGCAGAGATCACCCGGCGCCGGAATAAACCCCGCTCCGCTGCGCCGGGGGATGTGGCCCCGCCGGGACTTTCCAAAGCGGCTCCTGGGTTGTTTTCACCAACTGCCCTGTGGAAATCCCGGCCCGGACCCTCCGCTGGTGTCAGTGGGTGGAGCTGAGACATCCCAACCCCCAGTAAAGTGCCCCCATGTCACAGAGTCACCATGGAGATAAAAGACCCCGCCCCTCAGCCCCCGATGGCATCACTCAGTCCAGCGCTGGCCCGCAGGGCTTTGGGGACAGTCACGTGGCTAAGGGCTGTGGACAGGGACACGGTGGGATTTCATGGGGTCATTCAGGGGGAGGCGGCTGCTGAGGGAGAAGCAGAGGCCCGTGGGTGGGGGGTCAGGGGGGCACTAAGGTCACAGAAAGCAGCTCCCACTGAATGAGATTTGGCCCCAGACTCCCCAAAGTCTTGTGTGACATTCCCATCCCACATTAGCTGTCAGCCAATTGTCACTGTCAGGTCTCCCATGGCTACAAAACTCTGAACCTGCTTCCCCTTGTCCTCTTTCTCACCCACCCCCCACCCCCCCCCCCCCCGCCCCCCCGGGCCGCAAAAGAGGGGAAGGGAGGGCCGCCCTGCGTGGGGGGGGGGTGGGTTGGGTTAGGAAATAAGGAGGAGCACGACCCCCCCAGGGGGGGGGGGGGGGACGCGCCCGAGAGGGGGGAGGGGGAACGGGGGGGGTGGAAGGGGAGGCGATTACCCTTTTTTTTAAAAGGTGGGGGGCGGGGGAGGCCCGGCGGGGGGGAAAAGAAGAATGATGGGGCACTATTAATTAAAAAGGGGGAGGGGGGGGGGCCAGGAACCCACGGCCCACCCCCCCCCCTCCCCACCCCAAAAAATATGGGGGAGGGCCCCCAAAGAATCAACCCTGAAGCACTCCCTAGAGAGGAAAGTGATCAGGAAAAGCCAGCATGGATTCACCAAGGGAAGGTCATGCCTGACTAATCTAATTGCCTTCTATGATGAGATTACTGGTTCTGTGGATGAAGGGAAAGCAGTGGATGTATTGTTTCTTGACTTTAGCAAAGCTTTTGACACGGTCTCCCACAGTATTCTTGTCAGCAAGTTAAGGAAGTATGGGCTGGATGAATGCACTACAAGGTGGGTAGAAAGCTGGCTAGATTGTCGGGCTCAACGGGTAGTGATCAATGGCTCCATGTCTAGTTGGCAGCCGGTATCAAGTGGTGTGCCCCAAGGGTCGGTCCTGGGGCCGGTTTTGTTCAATATCTTCATAAATGATCTGGAGGATGGTGTGGATTGCACTCTCAGCAAATTTGCGGATGATACTAAACTGGGAGGAGTGGTAGATACGCTGGAGGGGAGGGATAGGATACAGAAGGACCTAGACAAATTGGAGGATTGGGCCAAAAGAAATCTGATGAGGTTCAATAAGGATAAGTGCAGGGTCCTGCACTTAGGACGGAAGAACCCAATGCACAGCTACAGACTAGGGACCGAATGTCTAGGCAGCAGTTCTGCGGAAAAGGACCTAGGGGTGACAGTGGACGAGAAGCTGGATATGAGTCAGCAGTGTGCCCTTGTTGCCAAGAAGGCCAATGGCATTTTGGGATGTATAAGTAGGGGCATAGCGAGCAGATCGAGGGACGTGATCGTTCCCCTCTATTCGACATTGGTGAGGCCTCATCTGGAGTACTGTGTCCAGTTTTGGGCCCCACACTTCAAGAAGGATGTGGATAAATTGGAGAGAGTCCAGCGAAGGGCAACAAAAATGATTAGGGGTCTGGAACATATGAGTTATGAGGAGAGGCTGAGGGAGCTGGGATTGTTTAGCCTGCAGAAGAGAAGAATGAGGGGGGATTTGATAGCTGTTTTCAACTACCTGAAAGGGGGTTCCAAAGAGGATGGCTCTAGACTGTTCTCAATGGTAGGAGATGACAGAACGAGGAGTAATGGTCTCAAGTTACAGTGGGGGGAGGTTTAGATTGGATATTAGGAAAAACTTTTTCACTAAGAGGGTAGTGAAACACTGGAATGCGTTACCTAGGGAGGTGGTAGAATCTCCTTCCTTAGAGGTTTTTAAGGTCAGGCTTGACAAAGCCCTGGCTGGGATGATTTAACTGGGAATTGGTCCTGCTTTGAGCAGGGGGTTGGACTAGATGACCTTCTGGGGTCCCTTCCAACCCTTATATTCTATGATTCTATGATTCTATGATTCAGAGAGTTTCTCAGATTCTGGTCCTGCTGCCAAATGCTCTTGTCCCCCACAGTCTAACCCAAAGGCAATGAAGAATAAGGGAAGCTTTTCTCGGACCCAAGAACACACTGTGTCTGGCCAGGGAAGGATGTCTTGGGATTTGAGATCATTTTACTTCTCCCTTAGGTAAAAGTGCAAACATGATCCCCCAGCCCAGCCGCCTCACAACACAGGATAAGGGGCCCGCTGAGTCCTCTTCTTCAAGACTGAGGGTAAAGCAAAGGGCAGGAGCTTGTGTCTTATAAGGAAAGGGAAATTCAGATAGGTCAAGAAATTTCCTGTTTAAATCTGTTCCTCTCTCTGCCCAGGCAGTACCAGGAGACACAGTCCACAGCCCCCTGGGTCTGTGCAGTGACCGGCGAGTCCCCTGAGAAATTTCCCCTTCAGCAGCGGGGAAAATGAGACTTTGGCTCCATTTGGTTTTCAGTCTAGCAGTTTAGAAGGTATTTACTGCTCTTAAATACATTGCAGAGAAAGGGGAAATATTGTATTATTCTTCTCAGTACCATTTCTAAACATGTCCTTATTCCAAGGTGCCCGGTCCCACGTCCAGCTGGTGGAGTCCAGAGGGGATGTGAAAAAGCCTGAAGACCCTCTCCGCCTCTCCTGCAAAGCCTCCGGATTCACCTTCAGTGATTACGACATGAATTGGGTCTGTCAGGCTCCTGGAAAGGGCCTGGAGTGGGT